ACTTGAACGCATCCGGAATCCGGATAAAATTGACCAATCACAATGGACTCGTTCCAGTCTTTTTCGCTCCAGTGTGGCCAAAAAGTTTCCCCGACCAGGGCCTGATTATCTATCGCCAATCAAGTTGGACTAACTTACGTAATCCAAAAAGTTGATTCTGTTCTGCCTCCATACATTCAGAATGAAACAACGTAGGCTTTTTTCCGGGATTCACTGTACTTCCTCTACTATTCTTCTGTTTCTTCTACTCCTTATACTGCTTGTACTGCTTGAAACCTTCTACTCCTTCTCTTTCTCCTCTTCCTCGGCACCTCCACCTCACGACAGTTTGGCTCATGGTGACGGGGAGGTCTGTAGCTTCGCCTCATACCCGTTGTGAGCCCACTGGCCATTCGCAGTTGTTTCAGTTCCGCCGTTCGTACTTGCCCTCCCTGTATTGCCGGTCGTACTCCCTCTGAATTGTGATTTGGCTCATGCAAAACGTGGTGGCTATCAATTTGGGCATGTCCATATGCCTCTTTCACGACTGTTCACAGCCTCTTTGTACCGCTCACTTTCTATTCTCCTCGGTCATCGTCTCCTACTGTCCTGCAACAAGTTCTCAGCCGCCCTGTCGATGGCTTCTGCAGCACCCGCATTCTCACGCTGCCCGTGTGATCGCTCACCCAATCACGGTTTGGCATGAGATCCTGGGGGCCGATTCTCACCAGTCGGTTCTCCACTCGCATCATGTTCACAGACGACTTGATAAAAACTCAACAAAGTGGAACTCGAATAAAATTGAGCACCTGATGAGCAATGCCGTTCCGGTGAAATATAGTCACAATTACATTTCACGAAGTGACTGGATAAATACCCATTGAATCTTAACGCAATGTAATTGGTCGATTCGAAAATGCCTCGCAGTTTGAACTTTGATGCCAACACTGTTCCTCCCGCAGCGCGTCCAACGGCGATATAGCATCGACACTCGCATAAAGCTGATGATAGCTTATGAGTACTCGACGCTTTCTGTGAGTTCTATTTGCGCTTTAGAAGGGATACCTCGTTCAACATGGCCAACGTGGCTCAGTAAAAAAGACCGCTACATGTCAACCCAGCGCAATAAGCAACACCCCACCCTTAGAGGCCAAGGTAGACCCGACGTAATGGAATTTACTGACGACTTGGTACATTTCATGCAATCTGTACGAGATGAGGGCCACCACCTCACCACGGCCCACATGGACACGTGGATGAAGACCCGCCAACCAACCTGAATCGACTAGTATTTAGGCGAGAAGGCGTCAGCAGGCACTGGCTACGCTGGACTCCTCGGCTTCTGCAAACGCTTTGCTCACCGTCATGGATTTGCTCAACGAGTTCTTTGCTTCTCCAATTTAAAGCAAACCGAGCTGTCTGAGAAGAAGGAAATGTTTGCCTCAACATTTTGGTCCAAGTACAGCAACGTCCCATTGCGCGACATCATTAGTGTCGACGAGACGATAGTGTATTACGACATGCCACCACGCCGTATTTGGTGTGAGATTGGCGCCGACGCTAAAAGTACTCCTCGGAAAATCATTCCGACCGTATGACAGCGGTGCAGGCCGTATGTACTGATGGTTTGTGATAAATATTGTAAACTTGATATAATTAGTTATGTAGGAACGAAACTGCCGATCCTCTTTATTGTGCGTGGGGTGGTCGGTGGCCAAATTGAACCGACGAGTTGTCTACCTATCCTACTTGTCACGTCTATGCCGTTCAAGAAACGGCCTGGATGAAGACGTGTGGCTCTTCTACCTGAGGGAGCTCCTTAAACTCGAGCTTGTCGACCCAACGGCGCTGCTGGTGGATAACTTGTCAGACCATGTCTCCGTCCCAACACGAGGGTTCGTGGACGACGAGTTGTACTCGTTTCTGGAGCCCCTGCCAGCAAACACGACGAGTGTTTGTCAACCGCTTGATGTCGGAGTGACTGGACCTCTGAAGGCAAAGAGGCGTGATCGAGAACGTTGTCGTCGTCAGCGAATTCGTCGTCCAGGCGTTTGTGTACGGCGACAGTTTGCATGCGGTGCTGGTTGGCGTGGTCGTGCCCGAGGCAGACACTGTGGCCACCTTGGCTAAGTCGCTCGGGATCACGTGCACCGGCGTGGCCGAGCACTGCCAGATCGACCAGGTCCGGTTGTGTGTATCGACACACAATCGGTCTAAGAGCGTCAAGGTGCTGCGTTAGGTGGTCGCTGCCGTCCTCAAGGATATCGTTCGCGTGTGCAAAGCGTCGGGATTCCACAGCTTAAACCCTCGTCGGTACAGCAAATCTCGCGGCCTTCATCAAAAGCCACTTGAACTCACGCTTGCAAAAACGTGCATGGAGACGGATGCGGTGACCATTTGGGTCTGTATCGCCCGAAGGGTCACGAGACCCAAGACCGCACGGTCGTTCGGGTTGCATGTCGTTCGGGAAGACCGCGTCGGGATGCACGCCGCAGGCAGCGAGGACCTCCCGGATGTTAAGTTCCAGAGTTTGGTCGCGAGCGGTGAGGACAATGCCACAGGCGGCCGTCGCCCCAAGGACTCGCTTGTGTTCGCTAACGGCTGCAAGCGGGACTAGCTTCTGCGACGAGTGGAGGCTCGGGGGCTTGCGCGTACCAAATTCGTGTCGTCCAGGGTATACATGACTTCGTGGATGTCGTTGAGCGGCTGGGCAAGCGGTTATTTTAAATATATTTTATCCTTCTTGGGCGAATCAAAACAGCTACACTAGTACCAGGCATTCTTTCACAACTTCAAGGTAATAATATTTCTAAATGTACTACAGTGATCCCGCAACGTTTGCACCCTGGTATAAATTTATACCTGTGAAAAATAACTAGATATAAAGTTCTTGGGGACAAGGCAGCATTGGTCATTTGAAAATTCAAATTTGAGGCGGTAATGACTTCACGTTGATAACCACACACAGTTAAGACATTGAGAAAATGCACGGCAAACGGAAAGCAAGCAAGCGCTTAACCTTGTAAGACAAGAACTCTATTAGATAGTACTACAAGGCCAATATGCCTATCAAGCCGAAGCAAGTACAGGCATGGTGACGGAGACTTGTGGACTGAGCGTCAATATCTCGACAATTCGACGCATACTGTAAGACCAGCGCACCTTTGCTTCCTACAACATAAAGGCAGAGTCAGCAAAAAATCGCTTCAACTTACAACGCCCACATTTCCTTGAGCTCGATAACGAAATGCGGCATGGGCCAGCACGGCCAACAACAAGAACGCATGCGTCACTGGCGGCTTGATCATTCGTGCTGCACAAAAATCGCTGCACGCCTAAACCTACAAGTTCGCATTAGATGCTCAAAGAGGTGGCTTTACCGAATGCAGATTAGGCAAAATCTGAAGATGTACCATCTTCAGGGGGAGGCTGCCTCCGCGTGTCCAACAGCCGTCCATAATGGCCGCCTTGCGATCCAAGATGTCACAAGACATTTCCACACTGCAGATATCTACAACATGGACGAAACCGGAGTATTCTATAACAGTCAACCACGTACAGTAGTCCCCCGCAATAGGGAACCTTTGTTGGCGATATGGTTTTAAGGGTTTTCACTTTTAAACAGGATGGGTCGCTCGGTGTTGATTGGGTAAGAATAAGCATATGGTATTGAATGAAAAGTGCTTGAATACAAAAACGGACATCATATTCGAATTCAGGAGGGGGTTGATACCCTGGCAACTTCCAGAAGACAAAACGCACACCAACAATCACATATTATTCCTCAAAGGTTGTTCATGCTATCGATCAACTCATATATCTCTTCGTCAAGAATACCTGTATGGCGCCAGCAATTAACAATGGTGTCTTGCGTAACACTAGGCCACTCCATGGCCTCCAGCAGCGAAACTTCGTGCAACTTGTTGACCCGTGACGCAAAATTTTCTTTGTCTGACTCATCACCCGTTTCAAGCAACTTGTCAAACTTTCGCACAATATGCAGCGCACGCAGGGCACCAATCTTGTTCTTTCTTGTTCTTGAACGCCTGAATGACACCGGCATCTTGAGGCTGTAAGAAAGCCGTGGTATAAGCAGGCAGCATCCGCACCACAACATTTGACAGCAAGGGCTCGTAGCGATGTGTTGAGGCGTTGTCCAACAGCAAGAGGACGTGGCGGCCTTCTCGTTGTGCATTGTCTTGTTGAACTCTTCGCCCGTCATCCACACCTTCTTCATGGCCGCGTAGTCGAGGTCCAGTTCTTGAGCTGATCTCTTTTCAAAGCATCTGGGCTGCTGGGCAGAGCCAACAAACAGCAATGGCCACCTGCGGCTTCCATCGGCGTTGCTTGTGACGGCCACAGTGATACGCTTCTTGACCATCTTGCGTCCTTGCATGCGAGCTGTGCAGATCACTTTGGTGGGTGTAGAACAGTAGAAGTATGCTGTTTCATCCAGGTTGAAGATGTCTTGCTTGGCGTACGCTTGTGTGACTTCACGAAGGATGCGGCGACCGTCGTCTATGTCCTCCTGACTTGCAGAAGGGGCTTCGCCATACACGCGGCGGGACTTCAAGTTGTGCGCTGTTGGAAGCGGTAGAGCCAGCCGTTCGAAAACCTCATGGTGGCGAGATCATCTGTAGACTGTGGTGAACTGTGGAGTTCGTCTCGTATGGCCATCGCCTAGGCACGGATGGTCGGTCCAGTTACAATGGGGTCCACTCCTCACACTTTCGAATCCAAGTCATTAGTCGACGTTCCAGTTCGGGTAGGCGGGGCCTGTGTGTAGATTTGTGTGACGGATGTACATCCATGGGCTTGCTCTGATCATTTAGCCAACGAGATATCGTCGACTTTTGGGGAACATGTGGCAGTCCAAATTCACGCTGAACCCATTTTTGCAGTTCAAGTCCTCTTATGCCAGGATTGGTCTTGTGATACATCAATAGTGAGCACTTTTGCTCGACGGTGAGTCTCATCTGTGTCGAGGGTGACGGCATATTGTGTACAACAAGCGGTTTTTCGCAACGTGTGTCGTTTGAATTTTCAATCCGCCTCTATAAATTCATTTTTTAGTACTTCTTGGACAAGAATTAATTTTGCGAAGATATTAATTAGTTGTAGGTTCCCTATTGCGGCGGACTGCTGTACCACAATTGCCGATCATGCGCGTCCGGGCCATAAGCAGGATAAAAGCCGAATTTCAGTGGCTTTGGCGACGAACGCTGACGGTTGTTCATCGGAAAGCCCAGCGACCGCTTCGGAGGCTTGACCCGCCGCGAATTGGGGCTACTTTACCACCCCAATCGCAAGGCCTGGATGACGATGGCCTTGTTTTCGGAGTGGCTCAGCGACTTCAATTTGCGGATGGCTAGCCAGGGAAGGTCTGTTCTTCTCATCCTAGACAACGCTTCGTCACATGATCCTCTCGATCTGAACCTTACCAACGTCCGGCTTTTGATGCTTCCCCCGAACACCACGGCCTTCCTGCGGCCCATGGACGCTGGCATCATTGCGTCGCTCAGAAGGCGCTACAAGAGACAACAAATGGATCATGTCATTTACCTTATCGATGACATCACCACTGAAAGCGGCCGCGAACAGAAGAATCTCTACGCCGTCGACGTCCTTGCTTGTGCAGCTATGCACTGGTCGTTAACTGCCCGGAATTGTGTTACGTTTGGAACTGTTGGGCCCACACCGGAATCGAACCTTTTTCACCCCTGAGGATCAATCTGTCCACACCAACGCCAGCTTTGGCCATTAAATTCCGCGTTTGCTCAACTGACTGATGCCTCTATCCAGTTGCCTTTAAAAATCAATTTTTGTGTTTTCTTTGTACCATTCATCCTGGAAAAGTTTATATTTGGAAAAACGTGCAAACTTTGAGGGATCACTGTACAACGCTGTGCATACAAATTTCCACATGACCTGGAGTACCACTTTGTCGAGTTTTTATCAAGTTGACTGTATAGACAGTACGACCTCATGATTTCACTGGAATGTGCTATTTGTGTGTATTCCTCTTCAGTGTGATACGCACTACACGTAGGATGTGGGCTACAGGTAACGATGGGATATAACGCCCACCGAAGTTTGAAGAAATGTACCACTGTACGCGAGAATATTTAAGCCAATCATGCTCTACAATGAAAAATGCCTACGCTTAATTGGTTAATAATAAAATTCGCGCGCCCG